ATTCAAATCGATGGTGAGGTGGGTGAAGGGGGCAATCGGAGTGATAAAGGTGAATGGAAGGGTGCAGATCATAAGGTGCAAAAGTAGGGAAATAAGACTAATCGGTATACATTGCACGAGATGGCGCGTGATCTAGCTGGCCACGACCGTGGTCCGTGCAAACCATGCCGGCCAGTCGTGGTCCAGCGTTTTCGTGGTACACTGTGGCCGGGAAAACGAGGCAGAACGACCAATAGGAAGGAAGTAACCGTTGAACGGCTAAATGTTTGAAAATTTAATTGAATTATTTCAAACAATATTTTTTTACCTATGAATACCATGTTTTAACCCTCATTTCTCACACCATTATTTGCTTTCTCTATACACAATATACACACTTTTGCGGTAGATAAAACCCTTTTGCGGTAGATAAAACCCTCCGTCAATTCCCAACCATGGAATCACCTCAAGGTGGTTATATAAATTTGCTACAAATCGGTTCTCATATCCAACAAACACTACTTTTCCGACAACAATTCCAATCTTTCCCAGCCTTTCAACAACAATTCCACCGATTTTAACAATTCCAGCCACAATCGTCAAAACCACCACCTTCACAATCAAAACCACCTCATTCGTTGGATTTTGTTTCTGAAACACAACTTTCATCACCAGCACCTCAAAAAAAAAAAAAAAAAAAAAAAAAAAAAAAAATTACCCTACTACCCAAGAAAAGGTATCATGGACAAAAAAAGGAAGAAGAAAGGCTAGCAGAGGCATGAGTTTCGGCTTCCCAAGACCCAATTGAAGAAGATAATCAAACTTTCAGTTGTTTTTGAAAGAAAGTTTGAAACGTGGTTTATGCATTAACAGGAAGTGAAAGTTAAAATCTCAATCAAATTACCTCAAAGTGGCGCGATATTCAACTAAATTGCACCGAATTTGGAGGAATTTACAACAACCTCCAAAACATATGCAAAAGTGGGTCAAAAAATTCTTATTTCTTCAAGGCAAACTTGGATAAATTTTAAAAAAACAACGTCAACCCGTAAAACTTTTACGTATGTGAAACCGTGACTAAAATTAAAAGACGCTCCAAAATGGAAAGAGCAAACGGAAGGAACTTCACAAACCTTTTCCGGTTGAAAGCATTCAAGAAACTTGGATGCAACTTCCCAACAATCGGACGGGCAAACCTACATCGACATCAACGATGATCCGCTCGATCTTGAATACGAGCAACCTCTTCGCCGACCATTTGGAAGAAATAAAGCAAAAAAGTTGGTTCATCGGCTTCGGGTTCTATTGTTATCGATCATTTTGGAGAGAAATTTGATCGATATGTCCACATTCAAGAAACCAAGTCGGAGATGTTGAGTCGGTGGAGTAAAAAATGATAGAAGCGCAAACGTCATTCCAAGAGGTGCAAACGGCGCTTCAAACAAAAGCCGACATGAAAATTATGAAGATGAAAGTGGACGATCTCGAAGGCAAAGATTTGCAGATTTTTCTCGCGATGAAAGAGTCAGTTCGATCTCAATATAGGAATAGGGGTGGTTTTTTTAGTTATGTTTGTTATTTTTAGGTGTTTTATTTTTATTTTTATTGTTATTGTTATTTTTATTATTTTTATTGTAATTAATGTAATTTTTTAATATAATGTGGTATTTTAACTTAATGAAAAACTAGTATTAAAAAAATTATTTGTTTTTTATGTATTTTTGAATTAAATTTAATTAAAAAAATGAGATGGAGTGGTGTGTTTAGTGGTAAGTATCTCATGGTTAGTGGTAGGGAGTGTGGTGATGATGTGACACCCACCTATATAGTGGTTAGTGGTGGGTATAACGAATGGTCTAACGGGAGTGGGTTTTGGGTCGTAGGACCCATATGAATTATTTTAATAAATATCTTTTTAAATAATAAAAAATCTGAAAATAAAATTCTAAGGGCAAAATTGTAACGCCCGTAGATCCGGGCTAGTCAATTTAGAGACGATAAGCATCAAAAAAATGACTTTTTGATGGAAGTTTATTTAGAATGAATAATCTTAACCAAGTTGAGGTATATGTCACAA